ATCTCCTGACGGATGCTGTTCCTCGTCGAGGTCATTAGCGAGATCATAGTTGGGAGAGAACTGTTTTTCCATGGCATCAGCGAAAACCTCGACCTTATCCTCCGTTCTGAAGACTATGCCTTCAGGACCGTGGATGTGCGGGAGTTGTTCTCGCTTTCCATTTCTGAGTGACTTTGCGACCCTTTAGACAGGAATACTTGAATCAGGCATTCCCGCCAGAAAGTCCCTCCATTGCTCGTTGCGGAGTTCGTGCAGTGCGTTTCTCACTTCCTGGATAAGATTTGTAACCCTATCATCATCACTATGACAAAACCTGTTTGTCTGCCTAATATAGGCTCTTTTGTCAGAGATTTTCTGACGAATGTCCGCAGGCAAAAAAGGTCTGCCGTTTCGTGGTACAGGAAGTACAGCTGCTTGCTGTAGAGCTGCTTGAACGAAACTTGTCCACTCCGCTTGAGCGGCATCTATTCCAGACTCATCATCTATAATCGGGGGAAATTTTGATTTTCATAATATATAACTCACCGAGTCTGTAGCACAAAGGTATACATACCAAATTGCCAGAGTATTATTGGTTTGTTCGTACACCCTGTTGGCTGACAATCAGCAAACTGATAGGTTGCCTACATGAGAACGTTACGAGATGGCTGAGACCGACAGCTGATCCTCTGTTTGTCCAGAAACTGGTGATTGTCAAATTAGTCAGCAGATTATTGTCCTGTAAATTGTGACTGCTCGATATCAAGTACAATCATTATCCAAATGTTACATTTTTCAGCATGAAGTAGACAATTTTGGAAAAGTTCGGGTATTTTCATTTTCTGTAAACCAGAATGATCTAGGATCTAAGGTCTCATTGCGCGGAAGTGCCTGAATTTTCCGCTAGAGGAGATTACAAGGAGAAATAACAGCACCAAGTAAATTTAATGTATCGGCATAAATTCGAAGAACTGTGATTCCACACATCGAACAAGTTGAAGGCGCTTAAAGTAAGTATTCTGAATAAACGTCTGCGATGACTATGTGTGTTTTTTTATAAAACTAGGATAGTGGGGTTTGTGTTCCCTGTTCCCTAATACTTGTCCCCAGCCTTGAGTTGTATGCAAAAACAGTATGTATATTCTCGCTTCAGACCAAACCAAAGCTGATAGAAAAACGTAATGACTGATTTTGAAGATTTTGTGATACAGCTATTTACTGGGAAGAGGCGGAGTGCCCGATTGTCTTTGAAACTAGCGGCTGTCGATCTTGAGCATTTTGGTATATTGTAGCAAATACAAAGGTATCTTCTAGAACTACAGCCGGGTCCGCCTATATAACAATGATGCTGGCTGGGGTGAAAATAACATTTTCCCTATATGCGCAGACTCTCACTGGAAGAAAGAAGTAGAAATGATACAAACATTTAGTAACTTCTTTGAATAAAAAAGGGTGGATATACACCAAAAAGCTAAAACGGCTGAGCATAGCTACAATTACCAAGGTCTGCTCAGATAGCTATAAATTCCACAGAGATCCCAACATGGACAAATAGAAATGAGACCACGAAAGTACAAAATATCATCAGGGGAAAATTATAAGTAGGTCGCATTTTTAACCTTGACATATACTACAAGAATAATACGGATAAATATAAGTAATAAGGTGAAACATCATGACAAATAGCAGTACAGGTAGGCACAAGTCCGCAGTCAGAGAAAGCACTAACTATCGATGGTATGAAAAAAGTCCAAAATCTCGAATGTGGCGATAGAGTGTACGCATAGTAACAGGTCTGCCTTCTTCTCCAAACCATGGTCAGCGATTTGATGCGTAGTAGCAAAATAGTCTCGTACAGCTGGTTGTTTGAAGTGCCTATATTGACGTTCTGTGGTACGCCTCGGTGGACCAGTTGGCCTTCTTCGTGTTCCTCTACCTTCTTCTATCCACACACGACCAACATCCATTACCGCCATTGCAATACGATTAACAGTGCGGCCAATTCCGCGATAGGACAAACCAGCATCCCGATAGGCAATAATTCTACCCCTGTCAAAGCCGCTAACATTTTCTTATGCTTAACACTAGCAAATGAAAGGACAGTAACTAAAAATATCTGTACTACTCAGCTCTCAGAAACTTCTTTCTTTACAAAAAGTAAGGAATGACATTTTAAAACAGGTAAACAAATGCAAAGATAAAACGTTGATGTTCTTGCCACAGCATGTTTTAAATACAGGGTGTCCGCAAAGTTGGGGTTTTCCTTTTCAGAAACAACTACCCTTGAAATAACAAAGATAATGTGTTGTGAAACGAGGGCGACCAAGTAAAAAAAAAAGGAAAAAGTACTCACTCTCCAGTTGACGAGAAGGGCTAAGTACGTCTCTGCCCGAAATCATACCGCTCCAACAGAAAATGAAATCAGCTGATGCGCTACCGAGCAGACGCAGGCAAACAAGGAAGGCAAAATGTTGCGTAAAAAGTCTAGGGTCTAGGTATTGCATCCCGTCCAATCGATTTGGGAGAATAAATGGTCCAATGAGCATACCGTTCACCATGTCAGCCCAAACATTCACCGAAAATGTTTGTTGAAAATGTGCCCGACGGACAGCGTGCGGATTTTCTACTGACTAAACATGAGTGTTGCGAAAGTTATTCACCCCATTACGCGTGAACGTTGATCCGTCTGTCACCAGTATGCACTTCAAAAAGTCCGGATTATTGTCATGTTGATGCAACAACCACTCACAAAACCGCACTCTTGCTGGAAAATCGTCAGGTTGAAGGGCTTGTACACGTTGGACGTGAAACGGATACAGCCCCTCTTTACGCAGCGTTTGCCACACTTTAGTTTTTGATACTTGCACTTCTCTATCCACGTCTCTAGTGCTTGTTGAGAGATTCTCGTCTACGCGATAACCTCTATACGCGTGACCGTAACCGTCGGTTGAAGGTTGCATACTGACCTGACACAATGACCCCGACCCAGTTCTGTCGTCGGGTTGAGCTAGTGTCCTAGTACCACTTGGGGATGTAGCGGCTACAGGACGGTATTCAGATATTTTTGATGTTGCAGAGCCCTTTATCTCGGTTACCTTAAGACATTGGTGTATATGGTACTAAGAAAAATCTACACGTCGTGTAAAGGAAACCCCCAACATTGCGGACACCCTATATAACCATCATGTTGCCAAAAAAAAAAACAAGTTGAAGAAATTATTTTTTCTGGGTGTAAACACTTCTAATATCACGAGTATATTAGTGATGTGCATCTCTTGGGATAAACTGCGCAGATGATACATCAGTTCGCGGAATGACCGTACGGCAAAAGTCCGTTGACTCAAAGATGGAATGAAAGAGTGGTACCAAGCAAATCGTTTGATCTTAAACCTTGACAAGTCTTATATTGTACATTTCTATGCAAGTTCCTCTGTTCTAGCTAATCATGAGACATCTGAAACTACGAAAATCTTGAGAATTTATTATTTATTTATTTATACATAGTTGCCCAACAGACTAATCCAATTACAGGACAATGTAATGGTAACTTAACTAATAGTAGCATACAAGAACCACATAGAACAAATATAGCAAAAATAGCTATTACATAGTCACTGAAGTTTGAAGATCTCAACTGTAGAGACTCTAGTTTGAAATGGTACAGCAGAACAACCCTTTCTGGAAACGCGCCATCAATTTTATAGGTACAATATTTAAGAATTTTCTTTGTATATTTTCTAAGATATGTATAAAAAGGGTTCCATACCAAACAAGCCTGCTCAGGTTTTGGACTTACAAGCGAAATACAAAGAGTGTTTAGTGATGCTTCGTCGGAAAAAGATCACCAGTTACGCATTATGAAACCCAAAATCTGTGTCGCTTCGGAAGTGATGTGATCTGCATAAACAGAAAAATCCAACCTGCAGGAAAATATTACAGTAAGATCTTTAGTCTCTGTTGTTCTCTCCAAAACCGCATTACTTATGGAATAATGAAAGATAATATCGTTCGTTCTACGACAATATGAGCAAACTTTGCACTTGGAAATATTTAAGAAGACAAAGTTATTGCCACACCACTCGGTTCTCCTGAAGTGAAATACAATTGAAGACCTTGATGCAAGAAGGGGATAAGTAACAATATGTTAATTTTCTAGGGGAAGCAAAAAAGTTTTTATTTCTAAATTTTAAAGCTATGTCGATCATGAAGTTTGGCTAAACTAGTACAACAGCCATAAATGATTTTAGCATCATTATCTAGCCAAATAACAATGCTATTAAGAAAAATGAAATATTGGTGCAATAAAGGGATAAGTAAAAGACTTTTCATTATCTAATTTAAAGCAGGTGGAAAACGGGGATAAGTTACATTAAAACCATTTTCAGCAAAATAAACTTTATTAAATACTAACCAACAATACAAGTTAGTATAAACTAAAGCAGTCCTGGTTTTAACAGAAGATAAAATGTTTCTTATGAATATAGGTATATTATATTATCCAACTTAGTAAAGAAATTAGCAAAAATATGTGTTGAAGAATTAAAAATAGCAAGATTAAGTAATTAATCAGACTCAAAGTCAACAGAGCAATCTGTGTCCGTGACATCGGAATCAACTTCTACCTCAGCTAATGTAACGTTATCTGATTTGAGAGATTGACAAAAATACATTTCGTTTTTCCCGACATATTCCTTAGCTAGCAACAACACATTTTCATATTTTGCATGTTTAATAGGTAAGGCATTATCGTAATATTTTGACATTAAAGCTAAATTTGGTTTGGAGTTTTTTTAAGCATCATAAAATGTATAAAAAAAGGGATACTAGCAGACTGACTAACTTCAACACCTTCTGAATTTTTTGTGTATTTGAATACGCGATATGTAGAAATGGAAAACTTTTCTTTAGAGACAGCTTTTGGAACTGGAAGAAAATAATCTTTCAAGCCTGCCGAATAGTTATACATTATCTCCAGAGTCACAGGAATAACAAAAAGTTTTTTTATGATGATTTAACTATATTCATATACTCATGTGGTAAGAAAACCCTATAAATACATTTCCTCTTTTTTCAATTATTCCAAAGTAACGATCGCAGGGAAGAAAACTGTGCCCAACTTCAGGAAAGCGATGAATTATTGTGTCAAATTTTCCTTCCTGACACATTGCAACTAAAAACATAACCAAAATATTATTTTTATTTTGCGTACAACAGTTATCGCTTAATAAATATAAGATTTTCACATTGGTATTTAAAACTTTTTCAAAATAGTAATTTAGAAAACTTAACACGTCATTTGATCCTTTTTTAGCTATACTTTCATCATACATAAAGAAATGTCCTGTCTTATTTTTTGCAGAGTGCATGCAGAAATTATGTACCCATAACTGACGTAAATAAAATTTATCTCCTGAAGGCACCTTAGGAAGGGGCATGTTTTGTTGGAAATCGAAGCACAAAACTTCAATTTCATCATTTTCTTGCGCTTCTTTGGATTTTTCCTTTAGCTCTTTATAGAACCACTCGGACTTCTGGAGATGCATTTTTCTCTGGAACGCCAATGCCTTTTTTTCTTCTTCTGAATCGGCACTTTGTATCCGATTGTTTAATATGTCGCATTTTTTGCAAGTGTCCTTACGTGCTGTACCAAAACTAATATTAAAATTCTCACGAAAGTATCGTCCGTAAAAATCGTATGATATTTTTGGTTTGTATGGAAGACCGCCTTGTTTTAATTTATGAACATCAGGTTCATACTTTTTCAGATATAAATCATACATAATGGAAATATTTAAATCGCTGGGCAAATAATATTTATCGTTTTTTTTTACGAGTATAATGGGAAATACGTTTTGGAAAGCTGTTGATGTGCTCGTGTACTTGCCTTTTCAAATCTTCGTGAACTAAGTTGGGCCTACTTGAATGACGACCCCTTTTATCCTGAACAGGTGTAATGTTTGTAGATAGGTGGGTTGCGATCCGCTCCAGACATTTTTTCCCTATACCATGAAGAAGACATATAGCCATTTTGCAAACATTTAGCTCAAAGGCGCCTTTTCGTAACTGAAAAGAAAATTGCTAATAAAATTTCTAAAATATTCACCGCAAAACCATTAGAACATTTTTAAACTTATGGGGATAAACGTGCTACAATTAATGATGTTAAAAAGTATTACCTTGTACTTATAGGTGTGATTCCTTACTATCCCTGGATTTCCTTCAATTTTGCGGCGTCGAGTAATCTGCAAAACTTGTATCAAACTTGACAAATAAGAGTCTTGTTTTTCTTGACTTGAGTATTGAAAGCCGATATTATTTCTTGCTTTTCAGTTTCTGAAAGTTTTTCTATGCATTTCTTGCTACATTTGCAATCATCGCCTTGTTTTCGTTCTGGTACCAGCTTTCCCGTTGACGTAGATTTATAAGCTTCACCTTTAGCCCTTTTCATTTTCTGTACATTCCTTTTCCAGCTGTCCGGTTTTCTTATTTTCTTTCGTCCACGTTTGTTATTAGCGGGCTCATTATCGGCGGGTTCCTGCCCTTTATCCAAATTATTTTCAGACGCACTAGAATTTGAAGGCAAATACTCACTGCCTGAACTTTGAAAAGGTTCATCCTCACTGTCTGAACTCATATTAATATCTTAAGTTCTTTCAAATAGTCAACAATGTTTCAATATTTTCTACACCGCACGACCACACTAGCGTATTATCGCTGTCCAATGGTCTTTCGGTGATTACGTGACTCGAATCATGTGCACATACACCTTACCCGATTGCGTAAGCAAAATGGTCGGTGCAGGAGGGGGATAGAGATACCAACATATAAAAAATTATTCAAAGTTTGGTGCAAGGACGGGATAAGTTACACATATCTTATACCGTTGTTGCACCAGACCATACCAGGGGATATGTAGTTTGCTATCATAATTCAATATCTAATTCCCGTACGTATCCCATACATGCACCAGGCAAAAAGAGCAATTTTTTAAACCTAAATAAGCACATATCTCGCTTTTCCAGAATTATGCACTTATCCCCTTCTTGAACCAGGGTAGTCAATTCTCCAAATTTGTAATTTTCGTGTAGATTTTCAGATCATCGGCAAATAGTAGGGTGTGACACTTTAGTGAAGCCACTAGGTCATTTATGAAGAATAAAAACAGCACGGTATCCATGTTCGAACTTTGCAGCATGTCAGAGAAAACAGTATAATTGGTTGAATTATAGCCATTATAATAAACATATTGCGTCCTATTGAAAAGATAGGAGCTTAGAAGACCGTCTAACGAGTCAACGAGGCCGAAGTAATGGAGACCATCCACAAGAAGATGATGGTTTAACTTATCGAAAACCTGCTAAATAATTAAAAGTTGTTCTAATTATACCTTCTTGTAAATACTTATGTTTGTTTTGTTTTACTTTTAATTACATATACAATATATGTCCCCCTCATTCGGACGGGACTTGTGTTATTTTTATGATCTACAAAACAATAAACCTATCTATCTGCCTATCTATCTAATTGTGGACAACCTTTCTGTGAGTCGCACTACATTCAATATAAACCATTTTTGTTGTTCGTCTTTGGTCGATTCGTTAAGCTTTTGTCAGATAGGCGGCACTTGTGTAGTTGAAGGTCCAATTGTCTAAAGTGGATGAGAAAAAGACAGATTTGATAGAAACGTTACCTATTTTTCACAACTTTGTTACGTTATGACCTCTATCGACGTGAGCAGCTCATGAGCAAACGACATCTTTGTCTGTTTATAGCCTTAGACAGTACCTCCAGCCTTCTACCTTCCCACATTAACCTCCCACATCCTCACCCCCTTCAAGGAACCAAAATGTTATTTTGGATTAAACTGCTCATGTTCTTTAAAAGACCTTTGGTCGAAAAAAGATAATTCCATATGTCAGACAAAAGCTATCCTTTGGTAACTATGACAGCGCTTTTTTGACGTCTTTCTGTGCGCATCGACCTACAGCTACCTTGTACCAAATGCACATGGTCCCCTTAAACATGTCTGGTATCTGGGTAGCCAGACCTGACAGACTAACAGACCGACGAGACTTTTAACTAAGAGCAAAGGTCCACCGGACAGCTCTGACGAATAATGCACATGGGAGAAAACGTCAAAAAATGGCTGTCACAGTTTCCAAAAGACGAGTTTGGTACCTGTGAGGGACAAATGTGGAATTGACTTCTTTCTGATGAGGAAGCTAAAAAAATCATGATCTGAAACTTGTACACCAAACCTGCAAAGAAAATGAACTGAAACGATTAAAAAATATCTAGTTTTTGGAAGAGAAGGGCATTGGCCATTTCGTTCGTGACAGGATATTGCAGCGATTCGTTAAAGAAGTTTAACTAATCGGTTAGAGATGAACAACTCTTAATAGCGATCTAAGTGTCAATTTCACCAACATTAATATTATGGACCAATGGGAAAATACCTTATCGAAATGCAATTTGACGAAAGCTATCAAAGGTCTCTGAATATTAGTGATTTCTATTGAAATATTGAATAAGATCGTGAAAATTCGACTGTATTATAAACAAGACCACTTTTTGATTCCAACATGATGCTTTTGTACAGAAAAAACAGGACAACTTTTATGTGTTTTGATATATGTTATAGGTTTACATTTAACAATCCGTTATCCCCCTCAGCGAATGGGAATGCGGCAAATAATAGCTCGATTTTCTAGCTGTTAAATTTGGCAGCAGATTTGGACGTTTGTTAATTCATTACATACCTGTTGAATAGTGTGGATCTGTCTGTATTTTGCAAGAAAATAGAATATAAAATACATTCCATCCAATTCCTCATCTTCCTTTATGTCATAATAGTAATCATTTATTAATTTATGGGATAGTGAATTTTTTCAAAGCAATAAAAATATTATGTCCTCTCCATCCTAAAACACAGATTACATGTGTAAGTCGTGTCAATCCCTACATCTCCCTGATGCATAATGCAATTACTATGGATATAGACAAAAAATTACGAAAAATGTTTCACAGATAAAAAAATCAAAAAACTAGTAATGTTTACTGTTTGTCTATTTTTTTTTTGACTGGCGGGGATATCTATCTGACACTCGCATGATCACGTCCCGTGGTGGAGGGTGCGAAATGAATCTTTTACATTTGCTGGTTTTGAATTTTTTTCGTGAAAATTTACTACGTATCATGATTATAAGCATCTTTGGTAGATTGTTCGATCCGGAATGGGAAAGCTCTCCTACGCAACTACTTATGCAACTACTTTTGGTATCATCTAACTGTTGCAATCAGTGCACAAACACTGTGACATACGATTTATGGCATAACCCGCTGCCCTATCAATACAAATTTAACATACAGGTCGCCTAGCCGTGGGGATGCAGAGGTCGGGATGAATATCACGGCAGCAACTGATGATTTGGGCATGTCTGGTATGAACGTATGAAGTGAAACTCGCTAACTTCACAAATTTGAAGACTTTGTTCAATTTCTTTGAAAATGATGAAAGATGTCTAATTTGGCAGGGTAATGTCGCAGCCAAATGGCAGTCACTCTTTCTGACACAGTCCGGATCGAAAGATGACTATACTCGTGAAATGTATTGATACTTCTAAATATAGGATCCTATCGAACATCACTACTGCGAAGATGTATAACCCAAGGTACCGACGGAGCTTTTTTGCGGCGGCATGGAAATAATTTTAAATTTTCATATGCATTTTTTCAAGTGTTGTGCTTTCCCTCAACTGGCTTGTCTACAATATTGTTTCATAATTTTCACCCTCAAAATGTCCAATATAGTCTTGCAGAATCTATTAAATGATATACATTTCTTATAGCTGTACTATTTTTCATGTTTTTCATATAACTGGAAAAAAAATTAAGCCAGTTAAGATTTTAGTTAGGCCAATTAAAAAATCTAATTTACAATGTGGCAGCTGAAAAGTCCAATTTGTTTAATTTAAAAACACAGATTTCTAAAACAGCATACACCAATTTATTCTAAATTAATGAACTATTAAACTGAATCCATCTGCTCCAAATAAAACAATTTAATTATTTTCATTTTTTGGTCTAATCAGTGTAGGTAAAAGTATTTGCCTTATATTTTATAAAACATTTTATTCAATCTTAAGAAACACGTCTGCCTAATATTTGGAATTTAAGTCAATAAGTTGCATTTTACTGAATGATAGATACATGTTGTAACTGTGCTCTTAGAAATCTAAGATACCAAGTAACTCTAAAAACCTGATGTAGATGAATTTTTGAATCAACATACAAACATCCTAATTTTGTAACCCAACTAATTAGATATTTTCTTGTTTTCATTGATAGTGAACTTATTATACAGGGTGGCGCATCGAAAACGAACAGACGCATTTACTGGCAGCTCAGTTTTTTTTGGAAAAACGCTCAGACCCGTCGATTTTGTTTTCGAGGGTGTCACAAGCTTGGCAAAAATCATGTAAATACGTGCAGCCCCTGGGCGGGGATGACACCAACCCTAAAGTCTTAAATGGAAAGGGGGTCGAGTGATACCTTATTTTAAAGGCCTTTCAATTCCCTTTATAATGATGTGAAATACCTGATCTTCAGTTCAGAAGTTTTGAAGATTTATTGATTTAAAGCTTAAGGTAGACTTTAATACGTACATTAGTTCGTACTACTTTCAGAAGAAATTTGACTAAAAGAATTTACTTAATAAGTAAATTCTTTTCTTTACTACGCCCTTGGTTTATTTATCATTTTGTTGTTGAAAATAGCTATT